ACTTGTGAAATCCACATTGATACCATTGGGCTGCAGGGTTCCCAAGCAGAATATGAGTTGCTGTTCCTGCAACCTTCGGGTGGCATCGTTGTGGCACTGCAGGAGGCCCAGGATGGACATGTCATCTGAGGAATGGGAGGGGGAGTTGAAATGGTTCGCAACTGGGAGGTGCAGTTGTTTATTGCGAACCGAGAGTAGGTGTTCTGCAAAGCGGTCCCAGAGTCTCCGCTTGGTTTCCCCGATGTAGAGGAAGCCACACCGGGTACAGTGGACGCAGTATACCACATTGGCAGATGTGCAGGTGAACATCTGCTTGATGTGGAAAGTCTTCTTGGGGCCTGGGATGGGGGTGAGGAAGGAGGTATGGGGGCAGGTGTAGCACTTCCTGCGGTTGCAGGGAAAAGTGCCGGGTGTGGTGGAGCTGGAGGGGAGTGTGGAGCGGACAAGGGAGTCACGGAGAGAGTTGTCCCTCCGGAAAGCAGATAAGGGTGGGGAGGGAAAGATGTCTTTGGTGGTGGGGTCGGATTGCAGATGGCGGAAGTGTCGGAGAATGATGCGTTGGATCCGGAGGTTGGTGGGGTGGTACGTGAGGACGAGGGGGATTCTTTTTTGGTTCTTATTGCGTGGACGGGGTGTGAGGGATGAGGTGCGGGAGATGTGGGAGACACGGTTGAGGGCGTTCTCGACCACCGAGGAGGGGAAGTTACGGTCCTTGAAAAACGAGGACAACTGAGATGTACGGGAGTGGAATACCTCATCCTGAGAGCAGATGCGGCGGAGGCGAAGGAATAGGGGATAGCATCTTTGCAGGAAGGTGGGTGGGAGGAGGAGTATCCTACCGACCAACCTCATCCTGCCCCCTTGACCTGTCCGTCCTCCCTGGACTGACCTATCCCCTTCCTAACTCCCTACCTACACTCACCTTTACTGGCTCCATCTCCGCCTCTTCGACCTGTTTGTTTCCTCTCCACCTATCCTCTCCTCTATCCCTCTTCTATCCGCCTCCCACTCTCTCCCTATTTATTTCGGAACCTCCTTCCCCTCCCCCTTTTCTGATGAAGGGTCTAGGCCCGAAACGTCAGCCTCTCTGCTCCTATGATGCTGCTTGGCCTGCTGTGTTCATCCAGCCCTGCACCTTGTTGTCTCGGATTCTCCAGCATCTGCAGTTCCTACTATCTCTGAATCAATAACAGCACATTTCAGTTCAGACCAGAACGTGAGTGTTGCACTTCACAGCGGTGTTCTGAGGAAGTTAGACCAGACTCAAAACATTAACTTTGTTTCTCTCTCCACAGAATCCACCAGACCTGTTATGTTACCTTCTGGAGAGAACTCAGTTGTACACACTGCGGCGGTGACAGAGCGTGGCAGGAGCTGGGGCCAGGTGGCAGCAGGTGGCGGCAAAGCGGCTAGCGAGTGAAGTGGCAGAGCAGCGAGCCCAGGCCAAGACTTCACCCAGTGCAGATGAAAGTGTGCCCAGCATGGGGGAGAGTGAGCTCTTTCAGGCCCATGGCCTAGGAAAGGACTGTAATGTTTAACTTTTAACTTTATTTCTTTATTTTTCTACTTAATATTAGGAACAGTACTGATGAACTTTTTGAATTATTTCTTTACTTTTCTATTTTTGTACCAAAGATTTTATACTTAGGTACCTTTGTACCAAAGATGGCGCCTGGAATGGCGACTTTGTACACTTTTCATTGTACTCCTGTATCCCTGTACTTGAGCACATGTGACAATAAAACCTAAATTTAAAGTTTCTCCAAAATTCTCTGTTTTAGATATCCATCGTCTGCAGTACTTTGTCAATAGCTGAGTGTTGGGTTGCAGAAATAAAGAATTTCCATTTATAAGGTATTTGCACATTCTGAGAAAAGCCAAAAAACACTTCACAGTTAACTATTTTTGATGCCATGTCATTGTTAAGTGGGCAAATATGGCTGCTAATTTGATTACAACAAGGTCCAATAAAATGACAGATCAATTAGTCTGCTTAAGGTGCATGCTTCAAAGAACATTTCTCATGATACAAGATCCTGATTGTGGAGCAGGTGTACTGTCACACTTCGTTCTGCTAAAGTGGCATTTACAATGAGGAAAAAGCTAGAACGATAACCAAACACAATCTGCACTCATCAACAGCATGCATAAGCCAATCAGCAGTATATTAATAGAAAGCTTTTCAAAAGCTTGTTTTGAAGGCTTTTCATGGCTATACACATACTGTTAATGAGGCCGTGTATTCTAAAAAAGTTTGCCAATTAGTGTTTCGAACGCCTCCCAAATTCAGAAGTGCTTCCAATGCTTCTGGATCTTGCCTACTCCCTTTTAATGTTATTAACAGAGGACCTCTTCCTCAGGGATGTCACATCTTGAGTGGTGATCCAGGATTCCCTGGATCTCTCAAGCCAGTGTTCCAAAATACTTTCTCTCATACCCTGGAATCTCATCAAAATACAAGTACTATATTTCTCACAAAATATACTAATATCTAATCACAGCAGCAACAAACTGCACCTGACAACATCTCCAAATCATTTAACTTCTCTTCTAATTCAACCCGCGTGTCTTCAAGTAATTTTATGACGTCTTCATGAGTACATGGTATACATTCCGCCATCTACAAATGAAATTGAGATCGTAATAATTCTCAGAAATAATTTAACAATGTTTTAGGATACACGTAACAATTTATTTGCATTAAGGCAATGATAGACTTTTGTGAATCATTCTTCAGGCTTTGTAACAATTCTCATGGGCATTATTTCAGTTCTTAAGAATTTCAGTAAGCAATAATATTATGTCTAGGTGGAAATGACCTCAAAAATGATCACAGGCCACTGGAATTTTTCTTTGTTTAAGAACAGTCCCTGGCAAACATTTCTGGGGCTGCAGACAGTGATGGGTATATCACATTCCAAAGTGTGTCAGATGCCTGCTCTTCGTATTATCAAATGCAACGGTCTACCATATACCCAAGGTACTGGATGATCCCCAACGTAATTAACTAGCAGAGAAGGAATCAACAAACCATACACAAGGTTTATTAAACCCAAAAAAAATGAGCAAATCTGTTCATAACATAAATGGAGCATCCAAGAAGCACTCCAGCCTCTCAGTTCTAATTTGGAATGCACACTAAAGGAAAACTTTAATTTAAAATTTAAAGTTGAAAATCCCATGCTTAGTGTCCTCTCTCACAGAGTTTCACTTCTAATCTGAAGTATCTTTCAGGCAATATTTTCAATAGGCTGAATTTAAATCAGGTGCAATCCTGATTTTTAAAATTATACTGACCTATCTGACAAATTAATTCTTTGTGATCTTTCAGAGAGTCAAGACATTATTTTTCCAAAATGCTTCATCCAACTCCATATATTAGTGGATCAGCTTTATTTCTATTAAGATTTACAACAAAAATTGAATTCTGCAAACATTCAGATATTAAAAATCTTCATTTACTGTGTTGACCTCGAAAGATTATTCAGTTTCCTCAGTTCTCTCCGGCATTCTCTCTTCCCTTCCAGTACACTGCATTCAGTCAGCCAGGATACTCTTTCTCTGATATATTTTCAGTCCATTGCTACTTCTGTAGGCCTTTATTTCTGGCACATCAGTCAGTGAGTTTTAAGCTTGAATAAGTTAGCAACTTGGTTGTAATATCACTGGAGTTGTGTTCCAGAGGCCCAAACTAATGCTCTGGGACATGGTCTTGAATCTCACCATGGCAGTTGATGAAATTTGAATTTCCTAAAAATGTCAAATGAAAAGCTAGTCTTAATTGCAACCACGAAAGCAATTGCTGTAGACATCCATCTGGTTCACTAACGTCTTTTAGGAAAGGAAATCTGCTGTCCTTATTGGATCTGGCCTACACAGACACCAAACCCATAGCAATGTGGTTGACTTTCGACTGCCCTCCAAAATGGGCAAACAAGTCACTCAGTTCAACAGATGGACAATGAATACTAACCCAGCCAGTGACACCCACAATCCTGGAAAGAATTAAACAAAATTGTCTTAAACTACTGTAACCTCTTATTTGTTGCTAAAGATATTTCTATTAAATCAATTCAAAATTAATATCTTAATATTACCTCTTCAAGTTTAACCAGCATGAATTTCTGATTTATCTGCCAGTATTTATAAATATTAATTGGTCAAGATTTATGAATATATCCAGGTGAATTCTTTTCACAAAAATGATAGACTGCAACATATATTCTACTTCATTAATATTACCACCAACTGCTCAACAAGTTGTCTTTGCCTCATCTTTACCAAAGGTCTATCTGTGACAAGAGCTGTTTTCATTAATTGCATCAGGAATACAAAGGGCTGCTGTGTGATACCAATGCATACATTTTCCATATGTTACACAAGGGTTCTTCTGGTTCAGTGGTAGTGCACTTCCTTCTGGACCAGTTGGCCTGGGTTCAATCCCACCTGCTCCAAAGGTATGTAATAACAGCTGTGAACAGGATGATTAGAAAAAATATTTCCTTATATGGTCCTGTGATCCAGCTTATCTGGTATCCCTGGCCAGTGATAATTTATTTAATTTTTGTAAGCTCAATTTTATTCCTCACATTTAGTTAACCGGGCAACAATCCTACCTTCCATCTTCACTTGAGCACAATTCTGGAAGGTCACATCCAGGCAATTCAAGTATTCTTTTTTGTCTTCATCATTAAATATCATAGAATGCCTGTTCATGACAGTACTGTGTTGTGGGTAAACTCACCACAAGTTATCTTTAATTCAGCTCGGTATTAAGAAATCTCACAGTCAAGTAATGAAACAATGATTTAAACGTTATTGCATGTAGCAACCAAAATAAGACCCCTCAAGTAAGCAAGTTAAGCCTCAGAACCCAACCTGTCTGTTACTCGATGAATGGAGGAATCTGGCCAGGATTTCAACCAACAGTGTCCATCTCTGAAAGTGTCCAGGTTCAATCCTTATGCAATGTTGTTCTTCGAAGTTCTGCAATTGAGTTATTCTACTGTTGGATCCTTACGCAATTTTCCCTCTTTCAAGTTTCTGGTGTAACATTACGCTGATTCAATAATCCCCAACACTGACTACACTTCAGGAGATCTCAAATCTGTAGCTCCCCTGTTCCTTGTGACATTCAGAGTTAGCTATCAGTTTAAAACACAGCATATCTTGCAAATAACACCTTTACTTCAGAACATTATTTCTGCACACTATTAATTGTGCATTTGTCACAGGGCAGCAGGTTATCAAGCAGTTGTTATCGCCTCTCTCCCAGGAAACACCTTGTTTATGTTGTTTCTTTCCAGGGATGGTTAATTCGCATGTGCTTTTAATTCCTTTAGAACAATTTCTCCTCTCCCCTTTCGTCCCAAGAAACAGTTTATTCCAAACAGACTTACTGCTGCTTCTTTCCATGCGCAACAGATTATTTTCATTGATTCTTTCAAACTATCAAGTTATTAAAGTTCTGAAGTCTATAGTATCACAACTGGTAGGTGTGACCACTGCACAGTCGTTATGGAGATGAAGACCCATCTTCACATCATATTCTGTAACAACCAGCATACTAAATTTGGACAGACTTTGAACATCTAGCAATTCAAGACTAGGCATCCACGAAACATTGTCAGCCAGCAGCAGCAGAACTGTACTCAACCACAATCTCTAACCTCATTGCCTGGCGTGTTACACCACTCTAATATTATCATCAAGGACAGATCAATCCTGCTTCAATAAAAAGTGCTGGAAGGCACGCCAGAAGCAGCACCAGGCATATCTAAAAATGAGGTCTCAATCTGGTGAAGCTCCAACACAGGATTACATGCACGATGAGCACTGGAAATAGCATACAACAGAAAGGACTAAGTAATCCCACAACCAACTGATCAAATGTAAGGTCTACAGTCTTGGCACACCCAGTCATGAATGATGTTTTTAATTAATAATCAGTAGGAGGAGGAGGAGGTTCCACAAATATCTGCATCTTCAATGATGGAGGGTCCCAGCACATCAGTGTAAAAGACAAGACAAAGTATTTGTGCGTAGCTCCATTCAAAGTGCACAATGGGCAATAGATCTTTTTGTCCTCCTGAAGCCCTAGGCATCATATATACATCAATCAGTTCATGTGATATCAACAAAATGAGTGCAGAAATGGTAAACTACAAAGGGTATGGGCCCTGTCAACATTCCAGCTGCTGTATCGAAGACTTGTGCTCCTGAACAAACCATGTACCTTGCCAGAGTCTGCTAGTACAGCTGCACCATTAGTATCTAAGCAACAATGTGGAAAATTGTCCAGGTGTATCCTGTGCACAAAAAGCTGAACAGATTCAGTCTGAGAAATTACCAGCCTATCAATCTCCTCTTGATCATTAGCGAACTGATGGAAGGGGTCATCAACAGTTTTCTTAATCGATACTCAACAAAGGAATGATTGCTCACTGATGCTCAGTTTGGCTTTTGCCAGGGCCACTCAGCTCCTAACCTCTTTATAGCCTTGGTCCAAACATGGACCAAAGAGGTGGCAGTGGCCACCCTTGAGATCAAGGCAGCATTTGATCAAGTATGACATCAAGGAGACCTAGAAAACTTGAAGTCAATGGGAATCTGTGGGTAGATCCTCTGCTGTTTGGAATCATGTTTAGAATAAGGAATGATGGTTGTTGGAGGTCAATCATCTTAGTCGCCTGATATCAGTGCTGGGTTCCTCATGGTAGATACGGTGTCTATTTGCAACAAGACAGAAATCAACCATTGCCCCTTGATGTTCAATAGCATTGCAGTAACTATCAATATCCTTAGTGAGGAAGGGGAAGGGGCAGGGTTATCATTAAACAAAAACTGAACTGGTGTACTGTATTAGTATATGACCAGAAATACGAATACAGCGGCTACAAGAGCAGGGTCTCGGAATTCTGCGGCAAGTAACTCATCCCTTGTTTCCCTAATTCCTGTCAGCCATTTGTAAAACACAATTAAGGGGTGCGATAAAATTCCATCTATTTGCCTGAATGGGCGCAGCGCCAACAACACTCAACAATCCAAATGCCATCCAGGATAAAGTTGGCATTTGACTTGTACCCCGACAATCATTTCCTTCACCACCAACACAGTGGCAGTAGTGCTCACAAAGGTTGCACCTCTACAGCATATATTGGAATAATTAAGCAAGTTTCCTTTGACAACACTTTGCAAATACCATAAGGACAGCAGGTGCATGGCAACATTACCATCTACATGTTCTCTCCAAGTCACACACCATCCTGGCTTGGAACTATATTCCTACACTGTCGCTAGGTCTAAATCCTGGACCTCTCTTCCAATGAGCATTGTGGGTGTGCCTTTAGTTAGAGGACAGCAGCAGTTCAAGAAGGCAGTTTACCTTCACAATGTCCAGGGCAATAAGAGATAGGCAATAAATGCTGCCCCAGTCAATGATGCCCAAAACTTGTGAAAGAACCAGAAAAAAAAACATTCTATGTGATGTGCAAAAAACAGTGAAAGCATACAATGTAATGTCAACAGATTGCAGTAAATGTCCAGATCTATAATTGTAACATAAGAACTAACGAGCAATTGATTAAAAACTGATAGTTAGCACATTGGCAATGAAGGAAATTCGCATGCCATTTTGACAGCTGTGAAGTATTAATAAAGTAAGTTACTGATTCAAACAACTGAGTCATGAAAGTTATCAAGGTCAAGGAGTGGACTACAGTTCTCATAAAATCAAAAGCAACTTTCATCAGACCATGTGAAGTTGAACAATGACTTCCGGTCCAAGATGGCGGTGGAGTAGGGCTTGTATGCCGAGCTTGTCCACTCCAACTGCTTTTCTCTTACTTTCTTTCCTCTCTCTCTCTTCTTTTTATTTTATTAACTTGTCTTGAGCTTGAACGGCATTGGCAGGGGCAACAGCCCGGTGCATGGACTTCAAGCGGACCCAGGTCACAGACCTTGAATGGGCCTACAGCGGAGGGCAGTGGGCCCAGCACAGACCTTGAGCGAGCACCAACTTACTTTTCCGGAACAAGCACGGGACCTGGAATCTGCAGCTGGCGGAGGCGAGGTAGGCCCGGCAGCAAAAGACGGCGCCTCAGGATCGGCGATTTCGTTGTCGGTCGGGGTCCGGCACTGGCGGTGCGTTGGCGGGCGGGCATTGCGGCGACATCGATGAGGTGGGCCCAGTGGGCGAGACTGTGACGTTGGCTGGTCCAGCGGCGGAGGAGAATCGGCCCAGCGGCAAAGATGGCGCCCAAGGATCGGCGCCTTCGATACTGGTCTGGTACGGTGTAGACGGCGTCGTTGATGATGAATTGGCTCAGGACTGACGGACTCTCTTCAAACTGCATCCTTTCCGTTCCTTATTCTTAAATTACTCAAAATGGCGTCATTCCGTGGTGACAAATGGAAGCTTTTTACTGCATTCTTACTGCAAAGTACTCATGCCAACAGTAAAATCCGTGGTTTCCAACAATCCGGGCAAACAGTAGGTAGCACAGAAACATCTTGCAGCAATAGTTACATTCCCGTCCCCATGCCACTGCGTCATTCCAATGTCACCCTTTTCATATCATTCCCAATCCCATTCCTTTCACATCATTCCTGTACCACACCCTTCCCAGATCACTCCCCCACTGCGGAAAATGCAGACAAAAACAATATAGTGTGGTCAGTGAGGACAATAAACACAGGATTATCAGCATCTTGATGGGATTAGATGGGCTGAGAGTGGGCAGCAGGAAGTCATATATTAATATCCAGCAACTTTAAGAGGATCCAGGTCCCCGAATATTGCGTTTAGGACCTTGTTTTTTTTTTACCGGTTTGCCAAAGACCTTAGTTGGTTTTAATTCATTTTTAAAGCCGGAGTGCCAACATCAAGAGTTAGGAAATGCAGGTGAAGATGGCGTGGGAGAGTTTGAATCGGACAGTGGTTTAATCACAGTGAAAACTGGTTTGTTTAGATATTCCAGTGAACTGATTGCAGGGATGTTTGGTTCATGTGTGCACAGGTGTGACTATAACCTTGGGAAGAGGCAGTTAACTTGTGATCGGCAGCTGATTTGTCCGAGAAAGGAAATTAAAACTCGGCGTGGTCTTTATAAACCGAGTTCTGAGCATTGTCCAGTGTCTGAAGGAGTGTTATACATGAAGAGGTGTATTTGGTGTTAGAGTGGACTGTGTTTGGGAACAGCGATATTTCATGGCGGGAAAGTGATGAAATGTGGCTGCATTTCGGGATTTGAAGCGGGTATTGTTTTGTTGCGGGAGTGTTACCTGCGGCCGGATGATCGCCGTGTCCTGAGTGTAAGACATGATCAGTCCCGCTCGACAAACCTGAGGCCGCCTCTCCTCCCGCCAAAACCAACCGCCA